CCCTGTCAACCTCGACAACCCGGCCACATCCCATCTCCTCCACTTAACCTCCTCCTTTGCACTTGCACAGTGCATACAATCCACCACCCACTCCGACGGTAATATCCTTGATCTTGTCTTCTGCATCCGCTGCGCTCCCCACAACCTCACTAACACCCCCTTCCCTCTCTCTGACCACAACCTGATTACCTTCTCTATCTCCTCATCCTCCAACGCCTACCCCTCCAAATGTCACACTACTACCAGCCGTAACCTCCGCAACCTTAACCCTGCCCCCCTCCACTCTGCAGCTGATCAACTCCATGACAGCATCCTCCCCCTGTCCTGCCCCGACTTGGCTATGACTGCCTACAACAACGCACTGTCAACAGCCCTTGACTCACTAGTGCCTTTATCCACACGCAACATCAGACCCTGACCGCTCCAGCCCTGGCAGACTGATCACACCAAAACCCTCAAACGACACAGTCGTGCCCTGGAGCGACTATGGCCCAAAACCAAATCCCAACAAGCCTTCACCCACTACAAATCTGCTTTCCATACCTACACCTCCTTCCTCCACGCAGCCAAACAAGTCTACTTCCTGACCCTCATCAAGGCCCTCTCCTCCAATCCTCGCCGACTCTTCTCCACCTTCAACTCTCTACTCTTGCCACCCCCACCTCCACCCAACACCTCACTCACCGCCCTTGAGATTGCCAATCACTTCAAAAACAAGATTGACACAATTCGCAAGGACATCGCCGCAACTCACACGCCCTCTCAACCCGTCCCCTCTCACACAGCTACCCCCTCATCCCCCCTCTCCCTTGACATAACCCGCAGGGACTTCGTCGCTGCTCAAACTCCCTCCAACCCCGTTCCCCCTCACTCAGCTACCCCCTCATCACCCCTCTTCCACAGCCCCACCACTGCTCTGACCTCCACTTCCACCCACCCTACATTCCTCATACTGAAGCCCCCCCAACACTCCGCACCTTTGACCTTACTACCATCGAGGAAGTCTCCAAGATCTCTCTGATGCCCACCTCACCACCTGCCCCCTCGACCCTATCCCCTCACAACTCCTACGACCTCCCTCCCTCTCCATCCTACGCTCCTTCACCCACATCTTTAATCTCTCCCTCTCCTCCGGCGCTTTCCCCTCCCCTCTGAAACATGCACACATCACCCCCATACTTAAAAAGCCCTCCCTGGACCCCAATGACCCGAACAACCTCAGACCCATCTCCCTGCTCCCATTTACATCCAAACTCCTTGAGCGCCTAGTCTACACCCGCCTAAGCTCTCACCTCAACGACAACAACCTCCTCGATCCCCTACAGTCCGGCTTCCGTCCCCTACACTCCACCAAAACTGCCTTACTCAAACTCTCCAACGACCTGCAAACCGCCAAAGCTAATGGCCACTATTCAGTGCTCCTACTCCTTGACCTCTCTGCGGCCTTCGACACAGTCGACCACCCCCTCCTCCTCAAAAAACTACACTCCCTTGGCCTCAGAGATTCTGCTCTCTCCTGGCTCTCATCCTACCTGTCACAAGCTCTTTCAGCGTTACCTATAATGCTACCACCTAACCCTCACTCCCCCTCTCTGTTGGGGTCCCTTAAGGCTCCGTCCTCGGGCCCCTTCTCTTCTCCATCTACACCTCCTCCCTTGGCCAATTCATACACTCTCACGGCTTCAACTACCACCTATATGCCGACGACACACAAATCTATCTCTCAACCCCCCACCTCATCACCTCAGTCTCTGTCCGAATCACACACACTACTGAGCGACATATCAGACTGGATGTTGCTCCACTTCCTTAAGCTGAACCTCTCCAAAACAGAGTTTCTGGTCTTCCCCCCCCCACCGGATACCCCCCCCCCCCCCATTGACTTCTCCATCACATCCAACAACGCCACCATCAAACCCGCCCCGCAGGCCACAGTACTTGGTGTCATTTTGGACTCCAACCTATCCTTCCAGCCCCAAGTCCAATCTTTAACAAGCTCATGCAGACTCCACCTCCGCAACATCGCAAAAATACGCACGTTCCTAACCCCAGAAACCACTAAACAGCTCATCCACTCCCTCATCATATCACGACTCGATTACTGCAACTCCCTCCTTACTGGCCTGCCTCGCTGCTGGCTATCCCCGCTTCAGTCGATCCTGAATACGGCTGCCAGACTCATTCACCTTTCCAACCGCTCCATTTCCACCACCCCCCTCTGCCAATCCCTCCACTGGCTTCGGATTGCGCTACGGATCAAATTCAAAATCCTACCACTGACGTACAAAGCCGTCCACCATACTGCCCCGAACTACATCACTGACCTAATATCCAAGTACCACCCAGCACACACACTCCGCTCCTCATAAGACCTCCTTCTCTCTAATTCCCTGGTCTCCTCCTCCCATGCCCGCCTCCAGGACTTCTCCAGGGTGTCACCCATCCTCTGGAACTCCCTGCCCCAACCCATCAGATTATCACCTACTCTCCTCTCCTTTAGGCGCACCCTGAAAACCCACCTCTTCAGGGAAGCCTACCCCACCCCCTGCTAACTTGCCAACCTCCTCCACTCTTCCTACCACCCCATCCCCCACAGCTATCTCCTCCTGTGCCACCATCCCCTCCCTCCTAGATTGTAAGCTCGAAAGAGCAGGGCCCTCGATGTAAGGTTTTGCATTGTATTGTTGTTGTTCTGTCATATGTTCTGTCCCCCTTTGAAATGAACAGCGCTGAGCGAACTATTGGCGCTTTATAAATACTGTATAATAATAATAATATATACACACTTTTTCATTTCTTCTTGGGTTTTCCTTAAAAAAAAAAAAAAATAAATTATAATATATATATATATATATATATATATATATATATGTGTGTGCTTTTTAGAATAGGTATTTACGTCTACATTCCATATCTTTAATATGGGGACGTTTCTTCCTGACAGAATTTTCACTCTTAAACCACCACCTTTATTAGAAGATGTGCATTCAATTTGTGGTTGATTATATAATGGATTCCAATTATGATGTATGTTTTTGGATCACCCTTTTGCATGGTGATTTTTCAACAATAAAGGTTCTTATGTGCAGCAATCCAATTTTCATATATATATATATATATATATATATATATATATATATTTACACACACACACACACACACACACACATTTAGGTCCACATATATTTGGACACAGGCCCGATTTGCATACTTTTGGCTCTGTATGCCACCAGAATAAATTAACATGACACAATCCATATGAATGAACTGCAGACTTTGAGCTTTATTTCAAGGAGTTGAACCTACATGTCAAGTAAAAATTTTAGGAACTGCAACCATTTTTATACACAGTCCCTCCATTTTCAGGGGCTCAAATGTAATTGGACAAATGAATATAATCATAATCCAGACATGTTACCTGCTTAATTGAAGAAATAAGGAAGGAGTGGCCCACACCTGGCCATGAAACAGCTTTTGATTCAATTGTTCAATTACTTTTGGTCCCTTGAAAAAGGGGGGATGGCTAATCTTAAGAGCTGTAATTCCTAAACTCTTCCTCCAATTTGGATGTACATACCCTCAAATTAAACCCTAGAGTGTGCACTTTCAGACCTTATCCATTATATAACTATAGCTTGAATATGTGTTGGTAAATACCTGAAAAAAAACTAAAATTGTGCCTGTGTCCAACTATATATGGACCTGTTTATGTGTTTGTGTATATATGTACAGCGCTGTGTAAATTGTCTGTGCTATACAAGTATCTGAAATAAAAATTATGATTTTAGGATATTTTCACACTACTCACTTTCATACTACAACATGGTTGATCAGCCTCCCCCCCTTAACACTTACCCTGGCTCTTATTTCAGTCAAGCACTATGCCAGTCTGCAGCGGCACTGCCCTTTCTTCCCATAATCACAGGACACAGAGGCAGCAGTATTCTGTGAGCATAGAGCAGGGTCAAACCTTGCTCTGTGCATCTATGGATGCACACATCTCAACTAGGGAGTGCGCCTGCATGAGTGCCCCAAAGCACACCGCTTGCTACTGGGTCACTCAGAAAAGAAGAGGAGCAGACAGCGCCATCCAGGGACCCCAGAAGAGGAGGAAAGGGGCTGCTCTGCGTAATACCCTTGCACAGAGCAGGTAAGAACACATAGAACATGTTTGTTATTAAAAGAAAAACAAACATTTGTTTCCAGAAACTCTATTAAACCATTTCCTATTTACTAATCACTACTCAACAGGACTGACTTTGGATGTGTCTGCTTTGCCACAGTTCACATGTACTCTAACATGCTATGCTAGTTAGCTTTTCTGTCAATTAGTTCATTCAAAAAACAAACAGCTATTCTTAAAGCATTTCTGTTGCAATAAGTTCAGACAAAATGAGTGATTCAACTCTCTAGAATATGGAATATTGGTTTTAGATAGGTACCGTATTTTTCACTCCATAAGATGCACTTTCCCCCCCCCCCCCCCAAAAAAAGGGGGGAAAATGTCAGTGCGTCTTATGGAGCGAATATGGAGCAGCTGGTCCAGTATTTCCGCCGCCGCCGCCACCGTGTCAGAACACCGGGCTGGCTGCTCAGCTCTTCTCTGCAGCAGGACCTTACCTGTTCCTCGGTCCAGCGCTGTACAGTCTTCCGGTGCTGGCACCTTTAGTGTGGGCACCCGGCTGTGACAGCCGGGTGCCCACTGCACATGCGCAAGAAGAGCTGTGCTTTGTGAATGGTCCAGCATCTTCTGGGACACGACAGGTCCCAGAAGACGCCGGGCCATTCAAAAAGTGCAGCGCTTCTCGCGCATGCGCAGTGGGCACCCGGCTGTCACAACTGGGTGCCCACACTAAAGGGAGGAAAACTCCGTGGAAGTGAGAGTGGGTACCTGTCAAATTCAGGTACCAGCTCCCTCTCCAAAAGGTCCGCAGTCTTTTGGTCATCCTCTGTACTGTCTGCAGCCTCTTGGTCATCCCCTGTACTGTCTGCAGCCTCTTGGTCATCCCCTGTACTGTCTGCAGTCTCTGGGTCATCCCCTGTACTGTCTGCAGTCTCTTGGCCATCCCCTGTACTGTCTGCAGTCTCTTGGCCATCCCCTGTACTGTCTGCAGTCTCTTGGCCATCCCCTGTACTGTCTGCAGTCTCTTGGTCATCCCCTGTACTGTCTGCAGTCTCTTGGCCATCCCCTGTGCTGTCTGCAGTCTCTTGGCCATCCCCTGTGCTGTCTGCAGTCTCTGGGTCATCCCCTTTACTGTCTGCAGTCTCTTGGCCATCCCCTGTACTGTCTTCAGTCTCTTGGTCATCCCCTGTACTGTCTGCAGTCTCTTAGCCATATCCTGTACTGTCTGCAGTCTCTGGGTCATCCCCTTTACTGTCTGCAGTCTCTTGGCCATCCCCTGTGCTGTCTGCAGTCTCTTGGCCATCCCCTGTGCTGTCTGCAGTCTCTGGGTCATCCCCTTTACTGTCTGCAGTCTCTTGGCCATCCCCTGTACTGTCTTCAGTCTCTTGGTCATCCCCTGTACTGTCTGCAGTCTCTTAGCCATATCCTGTACTGTCTGCAGTCTCTGGGTCATCCCCTTTACTGTCTGCAGTCTCTTGGCCATCCCCTGTGCTGTCTGCAGTCTCTTGGCCATCCCCTGTGCTGTCTGCAGTCTCTGGGTCATCCCCATTACTGTCTGCAGTCTCTTGGCCATCCCCTGTACTGTCTGCAGTCTCTTGGTCATCCCCTGTACTGTCTGCAGTCTCTTAGCCATCCCCTGTACTGTCTGCAGTCTCTTAGCCATCCCCTGTACTGTCTGCAGTCTCTTGGCCATCCCCTGTACTGTGTCCGCAGTCTCTGGTCATCTCGTGTACTGTGTCCGTGGTCTCTGGTCATCACCTTTACTATGGCCGCAGTCTCTGGTCATTTCCTGTACTATGTCTGCAGTCTCTGGTCATCTCCTGTACTGTGTCCGCAGTCTCTGGTCATTTCCTGTACTATATCTGCAGTCCATTGGTTCAGAATATTTTTTTTCTTGTTTTTCTCCTCTAAAACCTAGGCGCGTCTTATGGTCAGGTGCATCTTATGGAGCGAAAAATACAGTAATTTAAATACCATTTAAATCATTTAAATAACAGTGTCACTGAAAATTTTATATGCAGTAATACAAGTTTAGGGGATCAAAGAGAACAGAAAGGTTAACAGTTTTGTTTCTTTACCTGTGGGCTTGGTTGTTAAAATTTAGCGCGCCGGTTTGATGAAGCTCCTCTAAGTGCTTTCGATTTCCAAAATACAGTGCAAGGTCTGTGGCAATGATGGCTTTGCGGATAATTTCTAGCACTTGTTCATACTCGCTAGAACTCAAATTGGAGAAGATATTGTGCCCTTCCAGCTATGTGAAACAACAAAACATAGATAAAAAGCACAATGTCCTGTGTTTTTGGATGTAAAGAAAACATTATTCTCTGTCATTATATAAGTAAAGGAGATTAATTTATGGGTCTTAAAGTGGAACTATGGGCAAAGTTTAAATTACTTATTTGATGTAGCCTGTCAATGGCAAAAATGCAGAAGTTTTGTTTTTCTGCATCCCTTAAAGAGTTTTTTTTTTTTTTTACTATCTGCTGATCCTGTCAGTAAATAAACGATCCTTCACAAAGCCAAGCTAACCAAAAAAACTGACAGTACAGGGATAGAAACATAGCACTTAACACTGACAGGGGGTGCACCAACAGCCAGTTTTTATTCATAAGTATTAAAAAAAAAAAAAAAAAAAAACCTTGCCGTCCACGTAAAAAGCTCCAAGTACATCTAACCTGTCCACAGGGTGGCGAGGCTGCTAATACATTTCATAACACAATCAACAGTGTTGTCATCCTATTACAGGAATTGGAAAAATAATGTTAAAACAGCATTATAAAAAAATAATAATTACAAAAAATTTAACTGGCTAAACATGCAGTAAAACCAAGTTACAGGGGGGACAAACTGCTGTGTTAGGCTGTTTTCACACGGATCTGTTTTTCTTCCATTTTTGCATAAAAAAAAGCGGAAGAACAACGTGTGGCCATGTATTCTTAAGGAACTCTTCACATTAAAAAACTGCACCGGACCTGCAATGGATCAAACTCCTGCTTGCCGCAATTTTGGTGTGGTAAAAAAAAACCTCCCCTTTGAATTCAATGGAAAATGCGCCAAAAATGCAAATTTTTGAGTCATGTGTCCCTTAAAAATTGCACCGCAAATTAGGTAAAATTGCAGTAAAAACACAGCAAAAATGAATGTGCGTTTTTGCCGCAGATCAGTGTTAAAGTAGCCTTAAGGTAAGTGACAGACTGCATCATGTGTCATTTTTTATTTTGCCCATAGCTATACTGTAACCTTTTTCAGTAGCAATATACTATATAAGGCAAGCATGGGGTTTATGAAATGGTGGTTACAAATGTAAGGGATAATCTAACTCAAAATGACAACACTTTTGCCATTGGTCATCTAAACTGTACAATATATTAGTACTATTGTAGTAATACTCAATTTCATTTTATTTAACATTTTAATAAATGAAAAAAATTATATATACTGTGACAGTGTGGCAACCTGTCACCCAGGATTCTCAACAAGGCAGGTTGAGGGGCTCCAGGGTAAATGTTTGATGCAGAGGAAAGTGGCTTTTCACTTTCCTCCTTTGTTTGTAAGGTCCATTTTGGGATCTGGAGCCTGGAGATTTCAAAGAGATCTGGGAGGGATGAAATCTCCAATCCTGGGACCAGGTTTTGGGAATGGCCAGGAGACTGATTGCACAGGTGTGTGCGGGCCTTTTCATAGATTCAGGACCAGGGTTCTGGGCTCCACCCCGGCAGATAGGATTCAGGAGGGATCCACCCTGCAGATAGAGTAGGAGGGCTCAGGCAGATAGGAGTCAGGAGGGCTCCACCCCGGCAGATAGGAGTCAGGAGGGCTCCACCCCGGCAGATAGGAGTCAGGAGGGCTCCACTTGGAAGACAGGAGGTCACTGCCTGGAAGTCAGGAGGGCTCCACCTAGGAGAGGTGGAAGCCAAAAGCAGCAAGGAGCTGCTAGAGACTAGTTGTGTGCTAGAGGCCAGCGGTGTGCAAGAGCCATAATTCTTGAAGAAGTCTGCAGGAGACAGACAGCAAGCTGAGTATAAGCCAGGAGGCTGAATCGTTGTTTTGTTTGATGGTGGATACCCCTGCGTGGGAAGCTTTATGTTATGGGACATTTGTTTAAATAAAATTGGGCAAAAAGGCCCTTAAAGAAGCGAGTCGCTGTGTGCTTTAAATGAAAAGCTCTACCACTTTGAAGCGAGTTCCCACAATACATATAAGAACATTTAAAGCAGATAAGTAATTATATAAGGAGAAAAAAAATAAATCAAGAAAAATGTTTACACTCTCTAAAAAAAAAAATGCTGTACTGTGGCATTAATTCCTGATGCTAGGGAGGGTCACTGTTTTAGGCAGAGCAATGTATTGGCTGGCTCTGTCTGATGCAAGTCCCTTTGGAAGAGAGCACAATAAAAATACTGTGGAATTGATCACCAACCATCTGCTAAAAAGGGCCTAGATGATGTTTTTGGGATTTTTTTTTTAACAAAAGATAATCCTCCATTTTTGTTCATCATTTAATTTAATAAAACATAAAGAGTGAAGAAATCAGTTAAAGAAAAAAAATAAAAAAAACCCTGTATAACCATGTTGTAAGTAAATATACTATATATTATTGGGGTTGAACTAACTGAGAAAAGGTTTATGTATTCGTCTAGAACATTTTTTCTCACTTCCTCCATGGTCAGAGACTACACAAAATCTCTCCAGCAGGGGCACAGATTTTAACTAATATTTAAAAAGGAAAGTGAAGAAGAGGAAAACTGTCTTTCAGATTTTTTTTTATACTGCCTCTGTCGCCATTGGGGAGATTTCCCCACATTAAAGATAGAACATTAGGAAACTTTCACCAACAATGACAAATATCAGACAGAGGTCTGAGCCTTATTTTAATCCCCGCCAAAATACTGGGCTGAAGTTAGGACAGCTTCACACTGCCTGGTGTGGTCCTACTGCTCTTTAGGCAAAGTGCAGCTAACCCATGGGTTTTGTGAGAGTTCGCTGCACTTTCCCATAGACCTCTATGATGTCCCTTGGTTTTGGTGCAGTTCCAGACAGCACACCAAAGATATGGCATGCAGGAATTTTGGTGTGCTTTCTGAAACCACACCAAAACTACAGGACCTCAAAGAAGTCTATAGGAAAGCGCAACTAATTCGCACAAAACCATGGGTTAGCTGTGATTTAGCCAAAGTGCAGTAGGCAGTGTGAAGCCGCCCTTAGGCTTTAATTTTAGCAACCCCAGCATCCATTTTAAACTGACAATCTCCTATATAATGTCTGCAAAGACAAACTAGTATAAATAGGGGGCACATCTACAAAGGATGGGGATGGGAAAACCTTGTTTCATGTATTTCTTCCCTAACTGGATTGTTATTTCTAGGATTCATACATGAGTTTGAAGGCAACAAAGTGTTCCTGGTTATTCTAAACATTTTAACTAAAGTTTGCTTTAAATGAATATTGACAAGTGATTTCTCTTGTATTTGCTTGGTTATAGTTCAAGAAAATGTAACCAGCCATACTCTCCCCTAAACATGCAATAAAGTTGTGCAAAAAATAACTATATAAACACTACAAAAATGCAAATAGTGTTTATACTATAAAATTATACCCCTTTTCATTCAATGGATGACAGTTCAAAAACATCTAGGTTATACTGCCACCTACAGGGGGATTTGGATACTAGCATGCAAAAAACAGTGGCCAGCATGGTATATTCCCACCTGCTCCCAGCATGCCTCAGCTTTTTGCTAGTGTCATAGTAGGATCAATGTCTTTTTCTCTACTGAGAAAAATTAAGTTTTTCAAGCCATTTTCTTTTTGTTAAATATATTTTTTTTCCTTTAAACAAGACTAAGCTACATAGTACTTGAGCTGGTCTCCCTTATGCAGCTCTTGAGATCTGGACATTCTCAGCAATAGTTTTGGAGGATGTACCTGAAACCTGCCTAGACTGAATAACTGTAGTGCCTGCCTGGAATGTAACCTTCAGGCACTGGGCTCTGCTTGTTGCACTTGCCCTCTGTGTACTATGTTAAAGCGGAACTCCACCCAAAAGGGCATCCTCCCCCCTCCTCTTTCACAGTTGGCATTTTTTTTCTGATCTTGACAGGTACCCACATCCACTTCCGTTCGGATCACCCAGGCCATCTGAGCATTAGCGCTCCTCCCCCCCCCTCCCCCTTTCTCCCTGCAGTCTTCTGGGACACTGCACAGGTCCCAGAAGACTGTGGGACCAATCACAGTCCGCAGCGTGGCTCTCGCATGCACAGTGGGCACCCGGCTATGAAGCCAGAAGATGTCACAGCCGGGTGTCCACAGCTAAGATGCTGGTGCTGTGGACCGATGATGATACACAGTGCCCCCTTGGGTAAGCTCCGGTGGATCCAGGGCCAGGTAAGTGTCTGTTTATTAAAAGTCAGCAGCTAAATTTTTTGTAGCTGCTCACTTTTACATTTTTACAAAAAATAGCTGGAGCTCTGCTTTAATAAGCCACAGAGAACTTTCCAGGTTCAGAGCCATGACATACTCTGGTGTGGTCCATTCTCTGAAGAACCATTAATGAGTAGGACATGTGGGCTGAGCACCAGACACTCCTTTGCTCATTACTACCATTTGGCACCATTGTTACATCCTTTTCTTCCATGCATCTCCACAGAAATGGTTAAAAGAATAAAGAATTGAGTCCTGTGTCACAGGCACACACTTCACACTTTTTCCTGTCATTTAGCATTACGTAGCACCTTCCTGCTATTGTTCCTTATCGAAAAAGAAATGTGGTTTCACCTTGGTTAGTCCATGCTGCCTCCTGCCTGGTCACCTCAGGCCATCTGAAGCTTATCTGTTTGCAGCAGTCAGTTCTAAGTGATAA